TATATATATATATATGGGGTTGAAGACTTCTAGTCAAAAGTTTTAGAATACCAATTTTTTTTTCCAGATTTTAATGCAGTTCAAAAATTGCAAGTTCAACCAATAGCTTGAAATGGTACAAAGGTAAGCGGTGAACTGCCAATGTAAAAAAAAAAACAAACAAACAAACAAACACACAAACAAACAAACAAAAGAAAAAACAGTAAGATTACCCCAGAATGAAAATTAATGTTCATTTCAGGATTCTCTGTGAACACAGAATGGGTTAACAATTTAAAGCAGCAAATGAGATTGATCAAACCCTGATAGCTGGTGATACTAATTCCTAAAGGCCTTCCAGATTCTCTGGATTTCTTACAAACCCCTGTGTTTGCATAAAAGTAGCACTGGAACACACTGTTATGTCATATCCTTGTGAGAATCTGTTTAACAGTATAGTACTGCTGTACAATACTGTACAATACTGGGAAAAAGACAATTAAAGGTTCATGACACCTAAAAATGTAAGTCTTTCCTACATAGAAATTGCAAAGAAAGTCAAGGTGTCAGTGAGTACAATTTCCTTCTTCATCAAAGGTACATAGAAACTGGGACAAACTGACAGGAAAAGGTCTGGCAGACCCAAAGCCATGACAGATTCAGAGGAGAGGTTTCTGAGTTGACAGAAGGCTCACAGGACAACAGCATAAACAGGCAGATTGCAGCTTAATAGTGATTGCAGTAAGCAGTGAGGACTGTCCTATGAAGTGCACCAGTTTCTCCTGCAGCAAAACAGCCCCACAACATGATGCTGCCACTCCCATACTTGACAGTTAGGATGGTACAATCTTTTTCCAACTGTAACGATGGTCATTATGCCCAAATCACAGGACCACAGGACTTGTCCCCAAAAATGAAGGTCTTTGTCCCTGTGTGCATCTGCTAACTGCAATCTGCCTGTTTATGCTTCTTTTGAAGTAATGGCTTCCTCCTCACTGAGTGGCCTTTCAGCCCATGTCGATACAGAACATGTTTCACTGTGGATAATGACTTTGTCCTACCAGCTTCAGCAGCATCATCATCATCATGTCTTTGGCCTTTGTTCTTGGGTTGATTTCGGACCAAACCACATTCAACCCGTCTTCTTCCTGAGAAATACACTGTGTGATGATCGGACAATCCCATCATGTCTTTACCTACATAAAATTGTGAAACAGATGATTCTTCAAGCATCAGTAAATTGTTCCCAAGGATGACTTCTTTCGACTTCCCCATCATGTCACAGTGCCAAACCCAAAACATTTGACCCAAGAAATACAGTTTAAAACAGTTATACCTGATAGTGACCAAATGTATGTCAACTTTTGAATTTGAGGAAAGTTACAAAAAAAATTCTAAAAAATGTTCTCATTCCTGATGTCAAATCACTCCTGAACCAGAAACAGAAACTTCTATTTGCTAAATACCAGAAAACGTGGTGAGAACATTTTTTAGAATTTTTTTGTAACTTTCCTCAAATTCAAAAGTTGACATACATTTGGTCACTATCAGGTATAACTGTTTTAAACTGTATTTAAAACAGTTTAAAACAGTTCCTCCACAGCTTTCCTCATAGGTTCCTCCAGACAGCCTCCAGCTGAACTGTGTGCCTCATCACAATGACTTTTTGTTTGCTTTGTTTCGGTCCTCCATCAGAGGCCACCTCTGCCCAGCTGCGAAGAGTTGCTTTTGTTCTTTGGTTTCTTAATTTTTCCCACCAAGAATTCCCTCTGTAGTCCTGGATCATCCTCGGCTCCTGCAACAGAACCTGCATATTACCTAGTCCAATCCACTTATTGACTCCTGAATAGTTTTCCAAGTTTATAAAGATGTTTTTCCTTCAAGCCCTGTGTCATTAGGTGAAAGACATTAAGAAGTAATGAAAACAGGTAAAGATCCATAAGAGCAGCTAAACTAACAAGGAAGGCAGGAAGAGACAACAAATTAGAATGAATAAGTAATAACCCTTCCTTCAGCATGAATGAAAGGAATTTACCTCATTTTAATAAAATGAATTTTAGAATCAGGTTTTTTTTACGCAGTTAAATCACATCTTACAATGAAACAGGCACTGCATTAAGCATGAACAGCACTTTCATAGTTAAAGAGTTTTGGTTTGCTCCAATAATCATGTCCCAATAAACTATCAAAGGGCCATGTGAGCTGTACGGGCATTTGCAGTCAAAACAAAGTCTAGTCACAACAGATAGACGCAGTTACTCTATGCAGACGCTGGTATTTTCCCATCATGCAGAGGACCTTGGCTGAATAGTCTGATCCTGTCCTGTCACTGAGCTGGATGCTGTTTTGTTTTCCTGTTTCTGTCTCGCGTTCGCGCACATGCACTCATTGATTCATTGTTCTTTTTATCCTCTCATGCTTCTGCTGGCTTTTTCCATCTGGCTGGCAGTGTACTCCACACAAATGGAATTTGTGAGCAGTGACTCACAGCAGATTCTTATCCAGAGCAACATAAACTTGTGTTGTACTACATGACCAAAAATGTTAGCCAACAATGACTCTTGAAAAAAAAAATCCTGATGTCAGTTGGGTCAATACAGCTTAAGAGGTAATAACTGCAATTCTTAAAGGTACCAGTTTGACGATACAGTTGAATACAACTAACTGACCAATCATGAAACATACACAGGGGTGTAATTAGTTTTTGGCTTCTAACTTTTGCAATATCAAAACATGATGTAGTTTTCATGCCCATATCAAATACTATCCAATATTTATTTTTATTTTTTTTGCAGAGTACTCTCTAACTTGCACAAAGTATTTGGTAAAATAACTTACCATTAGTTTTCCTCTTTGGATTATTAAATTTGTATGAACTTATTAATATAAATTATTCTGCAGAACTGCTGAGGGGCATCATAAAACTTTGGTTGCCAGGAGTGTGGCGTTTGGGGGCGACTGATCCTTGTGATCGTAGTTATGGAGTGGAGGATGTCTGGTTAGAGAACTATAAGGTTTCATCTTTGGTTTTTTGGTTTTTTCAAATGGTGGTTCTTTCAAATGGTTGTTCTTCTTCTCACCAGGAACTTAGCAATGCACTGAAGACTGAGATGAAAGTTAATTCCTCTAAAGGACTCTGCATAATTGAGCCAAACTGACAAAATCACTTCGCATTGTCGCAGCTGTGTGATGAAAATTGTGTTATTTTGTTGTCAGCTTCATGTCGTCCGCCCCTTCCTGTCACAACCCACCCAGGCAAACCTTTCGCCCCTCTATCCATGCAAACCTGTTGTGTGATTGGTCTGAATTTCGTGTGTGCACTTATTTGTGTGGGAAAGGTAGCAGCTAGTCAGAACACCACTTGTTCAGTCAAAGAGTAGCTTTTGAGGAGCAATTGTTCGAGACCATAAGGATGTGCGTAATGAAATATCAAACTCCTCCAGCTCGGTTCTGGTTCAGTGCAGTGGGAGAACGGCTCACTGATGCCTTTCTTTCTATTTTTTTAATGTGAAAAATACAATGAGATTTTGCAGTCCATCACTTATGTCTTCCTTCTCTGAACCTGTGAACTTATAATAGTTGATCCAATAGTTGATATATACTGCAATGGGATGGGGCGGAGTATCTTGTGGATCATGAAGGGTCTGTCTAAAAACAAACATCCAAACACCACATGACTGCATGTCAACAATTTGCCTTCGAGCTGACCATGCTGGGTCCTTAAGTTGGAGGCCATGGTTCTCAACCAAAAAAAGGTGCACTGCTCCCTCTGTGCATAGTATCAGCCTCTGCTCTAGTTGGAGGAATTAAAGTATCTAGGTATCTTGTTCATGAGGAGGACAGAGCAGGAAATTGGCAGACGAACTGGGGCAGTGTCTACAGTAGAGCAGGCAAATCTCCTGTCTGTTGTGGTAAAGGAAGAGCTGAACCAATCAGCATTCCAACCCTCACCTACAGCAGTGATATGGATCATGACTAAAAGAATGAAATTCCAGGTGCAAGGAGCTTGAGCCATGGTTCCTTCCTATTAAACAGATCATCATCCATCAGGATGCCTTCTGGGTCACTCCCTTTCATGGTTCCCCAGGCACATTTCAATGGAAGGAGACCACAGAACTCGCTAGAGGCACTATCAATATTTTCTGGCCTGGGACTGCCTTGTAATTTCCCAGAAGGACCTGAGGAAAGTTACTTTGAACTGGGATGTTTGGGTTTCTCTACTGGACCTGTTACCTAAGATCCTTAAAGGTTTGCAGCAAGATGCTGCCCATCTTCTACAAGTCTTGTGTTGAGAGGATCATCTCTTCTGCCATCATCTGCTGGGGCAGCAGCATCAGAACCAGGAACTTAAAAAGGCTCAGCAACCCGATAAAGAAGGCTGGCTCTGTTCTGGTTTGCCCTACCACCCACATTTCAACAGTACATTACTCTTGATGCCTGGAATATTGCAAACTATGAAGAAACCGCAATGGAGTCAGCACATCAGTTAGTACACACGTACAACTGTACAAAAAATTATACCACAGGATACTCTCCATATTTCTTAATGTATACGAGAGGCCAGGCTGCCTAATGACATCTGATGAGGGATAGAGTGGAATACCTTATCTCAAGTATGTGGAGAAAATGAAAAAAGAATTGCAGGAAGTCTATCAGCTGGCTACTGAAACAGCTAACAAGTCATCTCAGACACAAAGCTCACTACGATCATTCATTTAAAAATGGAAGATGGCGTCTTAGTTAAAAATATTGGCCTGACAAATCAAAGATCCCTGGAAACCTACCACCTAAGCAACAAAGCTTTCCTTTTTACAAAGTTCAAGAAGACAGAAATGGCAGTGTCAAAACACTAAATAGAAATCTTCTGCCTATAGGTCATGTGATTCAGATACCCGAGCAAAAAGAGCCTGAGACAGTTAAGAAGGCCCTCGTCACAAGAAGGCATTCTGACTGGATCACCTCTATTGCAAAAGTGCAATGCAAAAAACTAAATTTCAAGAGGGACTCTGAAACTAAAAGTATCTTACCACGCTAGTATCAATCAAATTCCGACTAGGTATTGATATTGAGGATCAATTAACCCACCTCTACTATCCATCCTCTGCTCATCCAAACCAGCCACACTGTCCTGTCTCAAAGCATTTGAGAAGTTTGTAGGAATGAACTGCTGATTATTTTGCACTTAGTTGTCTGTTTTAGTTAGGAAAGCAAGTTTGTCATTTGGTTTATTAACTTTTAAATAGGTACGTTTTGGTTAAGGTCTGACAAGGATGGATCCTCCATGTTATGATCTAGCCACCCTTACACAGGCCGCAACAAGGCAATTTGCTTCTTAAAGGCTTTGTCTGTCGTGTTCTTAGGAATCCGTTGAACCCACATGCAGAATCAGACGCCGGACACAAGTTAAAGAAAAGAATGATTTATTTACAAGTGAATATAAATGAGACGTCTTCTCTAGGGGCCTGGCGCTCCACAGGGTCTGAAAGAGGGAGACTGGTTAGAAGCTTGCCAAAGGGGTAAATGAGGATCTTGAATAGATGGGTCTTACGGTGTTAGGGGAGGTTAAAGTTTAGTCTCTAGGCTGGGATCCTGCTGGTGATCGGTTAAAGCTGAGGAACCCGAAGGTGTACGTCCAGCAGGGAGCGGGTAGGCAGGCAGGTATGAGCCGTGTCGGGAGCAGCACCAAGTGATCGTGCCGTTCGTTGAAGATCCAGAAGATGTCTTGATTCTCAGAAAATTCTCCAAGGTGAGGAACCATTAGGAATTCATCAGAACCTGGGGACACAAGGTAAGTTCAAAGGGAAAACTCAGAGGGTTAGTCTTCTCAAAGAGACACCAGGAGCTCAGAGTACCAGTGTTGGTTAATCATCAGACACTGAATGAAGGCTCTGCTGCTCCTTAAATGCTGCTGGCAGCTTGATTGGAAATGCTGCCCAGGTGTGCTGGCTGCCAGATTCCCACGCACTGCCACAGAGATCCTCTGGGGAGCAGATGACTCACACACAACTCAGAACACCCACATTGTAAGATCACGACAGTCTGGACCTTAATTATTGTATCTTCTATCGCAGACTCACCACAGCCTCAGTTCTATCAAACTGACCAATGTCATCCGTAGCTAATGTGTAGCAGTTTACCACCATCAATGTGTGAATAGTGTGTTTCCATCCAATTGTCAAGCTAATTTTGAGAAAATTTGTAAAATGTTGCAAGAAAGAAAAAACAGAAAATCCAGATTAGGCGTATCTCCATCTAGTGGTCTGGAGCGAATCAACCAGACTGCACAAAGCAAAATTTCATCAGATGTTGACGCAAACTAGCAAGGACCACACGTCTCAGAAAAGTGGAAAGAGTCCACCACTCCCATCCCAGGCTGGACTGCCTCAAGGCTGACACTTCTCCCCCGCCGTGCTGGAGGTTTGGACCCTGGAAGTTTGTTAAGTCAGAACTGATTGGGCAATTGTGTTTATATCTCCGCTTTAGAACATTAGCTCTTTTTTTAATGTAAAAACATTTTTGCAAAATTGAGGAAATTATTTTGAGTTTGCATCTTCCATGAATCTTTTCTAATGCGATACTTAAAAAGCACAGAAAAAAAAAATGTATGGAAACATGTGTGAATGGGTGAATGATTGAATGTAGTGTGAAGCACTTTGGGGACTTCTGGCCCTGATAAACGCTACATAAGTACAGACCACGTACTCTGTCAATGAACCCCAAATAATAAGAAGAAAGTACAAGAGAGACAGTAAAACACATTGCAGGATTTATTTCTGTCTGTTATCTGTTTTTTCTTTCTTGTTTTTCTTTTTAGAAAAAAACAAACACATTATAATTTCTCTCTATCTTGGAGCATTTTGTCCCTAACACCGTGACCAGATATTAATGGTAACCCCTAGCAACTTTGTCTTCAGACTTGGAGTTCAGAATCACTCTCAGACTTTTGCTCCTGTCTGTATTTGAAATCTTATTTAAAGGGCCTGAACATTGTGATTATTATGACCAAAGAATAAAGGATACAATATCCAAAGTAGCCTAGCCAACTTGGCGCAGACCTCCCTGATAGCATGGACCTATCTGAGTCTTTGCTCATCTACAGAAGTTCTTGGATGACTCAGCTGTGGTTGGCTATATCAGTGAGGCTGATGAGGTTGAGTACAGGGTCACCCCCAGCCAACACACAAACATCGAGCCTAAAGCAGACGTCACCAATCCCACCCAGAGGGGGACACCCCCATGAGAGCTCCGCCCCCAAAAACCCACAACCCTCTGCTCCAAACGCCCACATCCCATATGACACCATAACTACTATAAATTTAATATGCCATGCTTTCAGACAATACCTCAGGATTGCTAAGAGAAGTTTACCAAAGTTGGTAAAATGTCAAAAACGCTCAAAAATGACCTTTTGATCCAAAAATATAGAGTCTTCTGTTGGTTTTAGGTCATACCTCCTAAATACTTTTACTTGTCTTGGAGGGTTCTACTTGTGTACAAAATTATTGTGCAATTACATAAAACATACACATGTTATGATCTGTGTTTTCTGTGTGGTTATTTTTGAGGTTTTTCTGTGTTTTAGTTTTCCCCTGTGAGTCTGTCTTCCCTCTTGATTGCTCCCCAGATGTGTCTACTTACCTGATTACCCTCCCTGTGTATTTAAACCCACCTGTTGTCTTTGTCTCTTGTCGGGTCCTTGTCTAATGTTGACTTACGTGCGTCGGTTTCTGTCGAGTTTTCCAGTGGTACTGTGAAGTCCTGGTCAACTAAGCTCCGTGTCAGTCTTCGCGACAGTGCTACCGGTACTAGCCGTGTGCTTTAGTTCTCCCCCGTGCTGCCTGTCCTGGACTGTCTTTGTGCATTATTGTCAGCATTAAATCCATCATTTCACTACAACCTGAGTTCAGCCTGCGTTCAACCTCACCACCACCCACACCTTATGACAACACATTGTCCAATTTCACATTTTGAATTTCTTTTGTGAGAATTTTAAATAAACAACTCAAAAACCTTCAAATAAACATTTCTGACATTCAAAAAAAAAATTGTGACCAATATAGCCATGCTTCTTTTCAATAACGGTGTTAAACTTACCATTCATGGAGTTTCTGTTGATCTGTTAAAGACCAACTAGAGTTGTACCTTCTCCCGTTTAAGAACCTCTGACAAGTTCTCAACTGGGTTCAGGTCAGATGAGGAAGTGGACCATGTCATAAGTTTTCATCTTTAATGCTTTTACTGGCTACACACAATTTCTGTGATCGTCTGTTGGAAGGTTGAGAACAGCTGTCAGAGTATTTATGTGGAATTCTGCAGAGAATGTTTAAGTCCTGGAGCTCTGCCAGTGGGAATAGTTTTGATGGCATCATGGAGTTCAGTGGTTATTAAAGATGCGTACTACACAACTTGTAGTACATTCATTTTATTATTTTAAATTCATTTATCAATCCCAAGTAGAGGGTTACTTAAACAGTTTCTTAAGGAACATTTATTGATGTACTGCTGCTGCTGTCTCTGATTATTGAAATTATTATATTTACTTTATTCTTCAATTGATTTGCCAAAGGTTTGGCGGTTTTATTAATATGATCAAAATTCTCTAAGCTAAACCTCAGTATTTGCAATCGTGTTCTTGTTTCAGGTATTGTGTTAACTTCTAATTTCAGTTTTCTTATTTCATTTCAGCTGCCTTTTTTATTCATATAAAAGAATTTCTGGCATATGTACAAACCATTGCCACCTCCTACATCATAAACTGCTCCCTACCTCAGGGCCAACATGCTGCGCTGTGACAGGCCATTTAAATTATTGTGTGCCATCCCAGGCACACTTAATATTGATTTTAATATTTCATTTGAAAAACATGTAAGCAACTATAAACTAACATAGTAAGATACTAACATACTCATATATTTTATACTATTGTCCTCAATAAACTCTGAGTGATTGTATGGTTGATATGCTGATGACTGTGAGGTTACTGAGGACTTTTTGAGACATTGTGGACTGCACATACGTTTCAGTTTCAACTTTTGAAAAACCCCTCTTAATTTTTATTGAAACACCATATAGAACAATTGATACACAATGTATCAATTGTATCATTATCAAACATTCATAATGCTATGCCTCACAGTGGTTATTTAATAGTAGAAATTCATGATCATGATGTTTATTTTGAGTCATGTTCTATCTGTGTATAGCTTTGTTTTTAGCTTCTTTCAGTGTGAATTACTTTATTAATTTTATTTGTATGAGGTTCTATATAAATTTAATTTATTTACATATCAACACTAACATCAGTTTGTCATTCTCTAACCTATCAGTTTTGGTCAAATAAATAGAACTGGGCCACTGCTAACATTCCATCTTTTTGGTGTGTGTGTGTCTGCGTGTGCATGTGCGGGTGTGTGTGTGTGTGTGTGTGTGTGTGTGTGTGTGTGTGTGTGTTTGTGGATGGGAGGCGGCTGCCCTGTGGTTACACTGATAGTAACGCAGTGCTGGACTAATGGATGTTTAACTGAAGCAGAAAAGTAATGCAGGCATTGTGGTCACTTTTACATGGTGTGGAAAGCGTATGGAAATACGACATGACATGTGCACATATTAGTTATCAACCATAAAAGCAGTATTAATTTTGCACATTGATATTAGCATTAATTTTTATACTGATCCATTCCTATTTAACAGGCTATAAAAAACATTGTTGAGATCAGCCTAATGCAAGTAATCACAGAATGCTAACATAACTTTCCCAGTGTTTAAGAGACAGTTATACTGACATAGTAAATAGCTAACAACTAAGTCAAGAACAAATGGGCTTATGTATATTTACAATTTATGAAATATTCATAATAGTAGACCAAGCACACCTCTTCCAGTTAATGGTCATTCAACAGGATCCAAGCTGCATCACAAAATCACTGTCATTAGTAGTTGTATAGTGCACTTAGTGCACTTGTATTAGGTCCATGTATTTGATGTATGGAGCATTTTTTAAATAATTGAAGGTAACATATAACTACATGATTGTGCTATAAAATGCCAATATGTCCCTGGAAGATACATTATACCATCCCTTTATCATTCATCATGTTTTGGTATTGTTGCATAATTCTTATTTACATTAAAGTGTGTTCGTCCACTCCAGTGGTAATACCAGGACTGCCCCGAGTCGATCCTCAGGGCTGCTATCCTGCATATTTTTTGTTCTTTCCCTTCTTCAACACATCTGAATCAAAAGATTTGTTAGTAGGTCTCTGCAGAACTTTATCTGCGTTTCCATTAAAACTCTGCCTAAAATGTTTTGGATATTGTGCTAAAAAAGACAATTTCAAAATTGCTGTGTTTCCATTAAATATGAAATGCAATTAAAATCACACATTAACTGGTCATAAGAAACTGAAGAAGCCCCAAGTGGTTGTTTTGAGCCTACAAACTGGGCTGCTCTTTGCCAACCACATGGAGAGGACATCAGTGCCATGACTGAGTGTGTGACCGACTATATCAAATAAACACCATCATCACCAGATCAGTGAGATGCTTCCCTAAAACAAACCCTAGGTCACCAGTGAAGTAAAGTAACTGTTGAACATGAAAAGAAAACCTTTAAGGAGCGAGACAGGGAGTTATACAGAAGCAGCTCAAAGTCAAGATTACAGACAACAAGAAGGACAGGAAGAATCTGGAGAGTAAACTGTAGAGGAAGAGTATCAAAGATATGTGTTCAGGAATGAAGAAGATCACAGGCTTCAAGCAAAAGGAGGATCAGATAG